TTTTTTTTTTTTTTTTTTGACGTTCGGAGACAAAATCGTCGCCGACGTTCGACTCACCGTCCGCGGCCTTCGGAATAGAATTTTTGCCACGATTCGGAGCCTCCATTTTCTGAAATTGGAGCTTTTTTTGTACAACCTTCCGCTCGGGAGGTTGAAATTGCGATTTTTGACGAGATTGGGAGCGGGTTATCCTTGATTCGTCTTCAATTTCGAATGGTTTGCCCTCAATTTTTGTTCGCTTCGACATTTTTCTTCTCTGCGATTTTTGTTCTTCTCAATATTTTCTTGTAGGAGAGATGGAGTTTTTTTGGGAGAAATAAAGAAGTTACCGATATGGAGAGATAAAGATGATTTGTTTTCTTTTCTTTTTTTTGTTATGTTGAGTGTAAAGATGGAGAGATAATCACGTTTCCCAAAAAATCAGGCCAAACTTAACTGCAATAAATATTACTTTAATTATTAAATAACGTAATTGAGATGAAAAGTTTTTGAGGTCGTAAATTTGAAATTATTAAGGGGATGAAATGTACAGGGGGTAAATTTCTCTTTATCTTTGACCAAAAAAAATAAAAAAATAACTGTTTTTATTTTCTAGCCCAAATGAATGGAATTTCTAGCCCTTCTCAGGAGTTTTCGGTCCATTTTCTTTGTTATTTACGGCCTTGTATATTGAATTTTCTTTGGGGCCCAAATTTATGTGCGAGAACCAGCCCATTTTGAGTTATTATGTACGACCCTAATGTTTCTCTCAGCCGCACATCATTTTTTAATTTCCCCTTTCGTCCTAATCTCAGCTCTCTCTCTCAGATTTCTCTTCATCTCGTCCAAATCTCTTACTCGTCTTCTTCTTTTCTGAGAACTTGAGAGCAGAAACCCTCTGCCGCCGAGGAGTGTCAGCCATCACAAGCGTGCACACGGAACCGAGATCCGTCCGAGAAGAGCAGCCCCACATCGCGGTGAACAAACTCGACCAGCCATTGTCGCTCCTCAGCCGTGAACAACTGATGTTCGAGCCAGCCGAGACAGCAACCGCGAGCTGAGGCGAGTCCCGTTTCACGTCCGTTTAGCTGCCACGACCCGTGGTTCCGCACCGTGCCGAGACGAACTGTCCGAGGTCTACTGTGCACGCACCAGGCCGAGACGAGCCGACGATGTTCATCCCGAGCCTTTGTGTGGGTCGATCAGCAATCGAGGGCTGTCAGGCTGCATAAAACCGAGAGCCGAGAACCGATTTTTTTTCTCCATTTTATTCCTGGCGATAGGTATTATGGCTTATCCATGGGTTGTCTCTTATTGGTCGATGTTAAATGAGTTTCTGCATCCTGTTTATGTGCTTATTTGACACTCGTGTATTGACATATTGGTGTAGAATAATAATAATGATGATTATTATTATTATTATTAGTAGTAATAGTGGTGGTTAGCTTGGAGAATAAGCTAGGGTTTATTTTGAGGGCCTTATTTAAAGTGCTTTTCTACTTTGTTATGAGATGGTGAATTTTGAGATTGAATCAGATATTGTGAGTTTTATGTGTTTTAGGAGAGAGTATCTCGTTTATCCTTCACATTCGTACGCTTCCTTACATCAGTAGGTATCAGAAATCAGCATGATTCATGATGTTGTCGTGACGACAAGATGCTGCAACCATAGGCGTGTCACTGCCATATTCAACCTGAGCCGTCGGACCGAGTGGTTTAGCCCGCGGCTCGAGACGATGGGTCGTCAGATTGCAGATCTGTCCATGGAGATCGGAGACATATGTCTAACTATCCGTACCATAGTTCGGGACAAACAAACGTACCGTGACGCCGTCAACCGGGGCGTGTGCGAGGGAATTCGCGGAGGAGGTGGAGGCCGTGGTCCAGGTGGGGCGCCCCGTCAAGGATCTCCACAACCACTGTCCGGCGACGATGATGACGAGTAGACAATCTCCGAGGTTAATCCCTTCGACGATTTTTCACTCCCGCACGTCGAGGCTCACCCCTTCGCTTCATATAGCGGCCGTGACATGCAGCGACGGGGCCCAAACTTTGTGGACGACGACGATCAACGCGAAGACAGAGGAAAGCGCAAGGAGGCTGCCTTCGTCAGCGGATATCGTGCCCGATGCGATTGGGACTTGAACATGATGGTGCCGGCTTCGCGGGGTTCGACATCTCGGAGTTTTCCGGTGGGCTTGATTGCCAATGTGGTCGATGGGAGGGCCCATTTCGCGTTGACATCCTCGATTTGGACGGAGAGCAACATGACGGACCATTTTACGACGGTCCGCCGATTTTCGATGAGGAGCCTCCAGGGCCGGGGGAAGAATTGGATGGAAAACATTTTTCCTATGATGGTGAGAAAAGCTTATTCACTGTGAGCCTGCTACCTCAGAACAAGCTTGAGTTTACTTTTTTGCTTGACAGTGTGACATCTAGTAGGAATAATGGAAATTCCAGCCTTGGAGGACAAGAAGGCTCTAATGAGAGTGACAAAAAATGGATATGGCGCCCTTACCAATAAAAAACATTCAAAGTGGAAATCAATTTTGCAGCTAAGATTCCTATACAGGCCATTACACATGCTTTGCGAGGCCAGGAATCTAAAAATTCTCATGAGGCTATACGGGTCTTGGATATCATTTTGAGGCAGCATGGGGCAAAGGCCAGGGTGGAGACTAGTCTCACCTACCAAGAGCACAGAATCACTTAGTTACGTGAGAAAAGTTGCAGAGATCAGACGTTCACATTAAAGTGTGGTGAGCGACATTCGATCTTTGTGATCGATCGAGGGAAACGCCGGGCTATTCTTGTCATGATGACGTCTTTAATGGGGACGGGTCGAATTCGAGGGCGAATCCTGCTCAACCGGAAGAGAATGGTGTAGAATAATAATGATTATTATTATTATTGTTATTATTATTATTATTATTATTATTATTATTAGTAGTAGTAGTAGTAGTTAACTTGGAGAATAAGATAGGGTTTATTTTGAGGGCCTTATTTAAAGGGCTCTTCTGCTTTGAAATGAGATAGTGAATGAGATTGAATCAGATATTGTAATTTTTATGTGTTTTACGAGAGAGTATCTCGTTTATCCTTCCCAATCGTACGCTTCCCTACATCACATAATGCTAAGCCTTATGATGTGAGGTGATTATGAGGCTGTAAATGAATAAATATTAGTATGTGATCTCAGTTATTTGGCCTTGGCATATGAGATGGTTGCTTGAGATAAAGGATGCGATTTTGAGGCATATTAGTGTTGATTGCTTTATCCTTTCTTTTGAATTACGTGCTGAGTTGATTTCTAGGTAATAGCATGCTGAAATGGATCTTTTCAGAGCCTTGGTATCAGTTTCGTTGGTCCATATGTGTGCTTGTTTTGTAAGAAAAAGATAGCGAAGTTCTGAAGTTTACAATTGCTATGATGGCCGATTTTGTATTTTATTTGCTGAGTCTTTTAGAAGTCAAGCATGCTGTAAGTGAAGTGTGTTTAGAGCCTTTTCCTCATCTATTTGGTCCTTGAATGTTATTGATTCCAGCATGAGAAAAGAAAGTGAAATCAAGTCATTTTGGTGTGGTTTTTCTTTGGCCGTATGTTATACGAAGTCACTGAACAGAATGTATGCTTTTATCATGAATATATGAATGTTCTATGGAGTTTATACTTCAATTCTTAAAGCCTTTATGCATGCTAATTGAGTTTAGAAAAGTAAATAGACTTAAAGGCATGTTCATGTGATTTTTTTTACCATAGGTTTGCCTAAGTTGCTGTGCCTTCTTGTGTATTATGTGACTGTTCCTATGTGTATTTAAGAGCCTTTGTTCTAGTTTTTGTGTGGTTATGTGCTGCACTTAAACATAGTGAAAAGAGAAGGCAATATCATGTGTTCTGTATGCTTTATTTGGTTGCCTATTTTCTGGACTTTATGTATATTTTAGAAGCTGTTATTATGTGTATTTTATGAGTTTTAGTTGCTTTTTATGTGGCCTAAGTGTTAGGTAATTTGAGTTTTTTTTTGTTTTTTTGTTTTTTTGTTTTTTTTGGAGTGGCCTAATCAGCCAAATAAAAACCCGTAATAATGATTAGATCCTTAATTTGTAGAATAAGAGGAGTAGAGCCCTCGTCCTTGTTTGCACGTGCATTCACCATCATCCTCTGCAGTAGCAGGTGGGTGTTGATAAACCTTACTATGCAGTTATTTCTTATAATCGTGTGATTCCATAATCAATGTATGTGTGTGAGCTGTCAGTTTATCGAGAGCGTATAACCTGTCGGAATGGCGGTGTCGACAGTTCTCCCTTAGTTACCAAAGGAGAACGTATCTCCCTTCGGGCGTACCGATTAATTGGGTCCCGTGCAATAGTATGTATATATGAGCATAGGCAGGGTAGGAGGTAGATGTGATGATTTGTGTTCATGCTGCGATTATGTTGTCAATTATTATCTGAAATAGATTTCATAGTATTTCCACGGTGAGCTTGTTGTTTGCTCACCCCCTTATTTTCTCATTTCAGGTTGAGTTCGCAGTCGTGGCAAAGGATAGGCCAGTGGGGTCATTATTGGTGTTATTATGAACTGTTATCTGCTTCCCCTTAGTTATTTCAAAACTTGCATATTGGATATTGATGTAGGGAAGCGTACGAATGGGAAGGATAAACGAGATACTCTTTCGATAAAACTCATAATCAATTCATATTTTCATTCAAAATCAACTCCCCTAATAACAAATCACAAGAGCCCTTTAAATAATACTCTTAAACTAAACCCTAGCTTATTCTCCAAGCTAATTAATAATAATAATAATAATAATAATAATAATAATAATAATAATAATAATAATAATAATAATAATTCTGCATCATTCTCCCCCGGTTGAGTAGGATTCACCCTTGAATCCGACACGTTCCTGTTGGAGATGTCTCATGACAGGAATAGCCCAACGTTTCCCCCGATTGAACACAAAGGTTGAAGGTCGCCCAACAACCCCGAAAGTAAACATAATCTTGGGCAAGGATTGAATTGTTGCAAAGGCACATGTACACGCCTTCATACGCATAACCCACACAGCTGTATTAACACATAACAAATCCATAACTACGCGCTCAAATCCAAAACTACGGCCAAGCAACCCTGTAACGCCACGATTAGAAATAATATTAGAACGGTTTCACTGCTCGATTATAAGTGAAATCCGTATTTTTCAGAAATATCCGAGTTATATTTTATATGCTAAGTGCTCAATTATTTTTAAGTATGATAGATCATTCTTTGGAATTTTCTATATCATGTTAAGATCAAGATCAATTCATTAATTTGGGTTGATAAGTAGTAACTATTCGACTCGAGAATTTATTTGGGCCTCGAGCCATAATCTCGCCCCGAGTATAGCCGAGCCTTGGTAGCATGATACTTATAATATTTTTCTAAGTGTTATGAAGTATCTAAGTTCAAGCCCTAGACCTCATTCTCGAGCCCTAGCATTCACCGAGCTCACTCGTGCCAAGCCTTCGCGCGAGCCGCGCCCAAGGGTTAGCCGAGCCTTGTCCAAGTCTTAGCAACATTGGGTAAATTTTTCTAAGTCTTTTTATCACAAGAACCAAGCACTATACTCGGTCCAAGTGATTCCACGCACAACCCAAGTCCAGCAAGCCCGCGCGCCCTGGCCCAATGTGACGCGCCCAGAAGGCCTCGCGCCAGCCATGGCAGCCACCTTCTTGAGCCTAAATGCCTAAGTTTCGGCCACTTCTCCCAAGACCAACTTCATGCATGTATTAAGGGGTTAATTAGGGCTAATTTCAGCTGAGATGGCTCTAAGCAAGGTTAAGGGAAAGTCAACTATGCTTAAGGTTAAGTGGAGCATGGATTTTTGATTATTTTAATGAGCTAGTGGAAGACTTGTCCCCTCTTGTGGTGCCAGACCTGACCAGTCCACTCCACCAGATCCTAGTGCTCTAAAAACCCTGCCATTCCACCCAAGATACCCATGCAAACCGTGCAAAGGCATGCCCAAAACCTTGGCCCCAACTCCCACGCGAATGGAGTGCATAAGTCCCACGAGATTTGTCTTCCACCATCCTTCATTGTACACTCTGCCCCACCACCTATAAAAGACCCATTCTTCAGCCATTTTAGCTCTTTAACACTTCTAACACTTGACCATATTGAGAGAGATAGAGGAGAAGGCCGAGTGCCACCCTTAGCCACAACCACACGCGCGCGTGACCCGGGAGGAAGGAGCACCGAGGATCAGCTGGTTCCAGTCCTTTTCTCTCGTGGCTCACCACTTTCCATGTATTCTTTGGATTTTTATAAGCCTCTTGAGTTCATCGTTTACATCTATTATCAACTCAAACAAGCCTAAGTCCCTCAAAGCTGTGTCTAGCCCTAGCAAAGGAACCAAGCGCTATTTTCGTTCCTTGAAGAAGGTTAGCTCGTGAATTTTGAGTCCCCTAGCTATTTTATGATAATTTAAGATTTATCATGTAGAGAATTCAAGCCATGCATGTGTTTATCCATGAGTTTCGATTTTTAGGAATTTAAAGCCTTAATTTTAAATTTTTAGCTCCATGCATGGTCAAGCCGAGTTTGATAGTCTAATCTTCCTTATAAATCATGAGATTGATGGTGTATAAATTTGAGCATGTTTGGAGTTCGTTTCCTTGGTCAACTAGTTCATGATTTTATGTGAATTTTCAACCCCCGAGCCTCATCTCTATGCATGCGAGTATTATGTGATATTTATGCCTTTTGTATCTTGTTGAGTTGAGATGGGTTGCATGTCACCAGAATAGTAGTCGGATGGCCGATAAGGACCGACCATGGTCACTGACAGCGCCTGCAGCGCGTGCAGTGTCGGCCCCGTGCCTGTCCGCGTCCTCAGAGGTTAAGTTGTGTGCCTGTCCGTGCCTTTAGAGGCTAGCCTGGCCAGTGGGAGGCACTCAGTCCGCTTGCACGCGACCGCACCCACAGCGCTAAGTCTGTGCCCGTGTGCATAGCATCAGCGCCCAGAAAAGCATGCATGGCGCCCGGTAGCACCGTGCCAGTCCCAGCACTCGAGTTCTCGCGCCAAAGCCTCGTGTCGTGCCCTGGGCCAACCCGAGTCGGGTCAGTTTAGTCCAGCCGTGGCCGTGCCAACGCATATAGTGTCTGGCCGTGTTTGTCGAGTCCAGTTGGCCTCGGGACGTGCCCCAACAGTACACCCAAGTAGCCAGAGCCCTCAAGGATGCCCAGCAGCGCCCGCGTAGCGTCAGTCTGCATCTGTCCCGAGTCCAGTCGTGCCTGTCTGTGCCTAGCCACACGACAGAGCCTCAGCCGACCTCGGTAGTGCCCAGCAGCACCCGAGTGGCACCAGTCGTGCCAGGGCCCGTGCCAGTCTTTCCGAAGTTTTAGTGTTTTTTCGAGCCAACCCAGTCCAGTTTAAGCGATTAGATAGACCCGAGCATCTTAGTATATAATTAAGCATTCTGAGCATTTATTTGCTTATATGTTTATGTAGCTTAAGGAGAGTCGAGCCTCCGATAGCTACTTCAGTTTCAAGCACTTGCCAGCTATTTTCAGTAAACCAAGTGTGGGTCATGTTCTGGATTCTAAATCATCTATAATATATGTACCATGACTGAGGTATGTTCGAGACAGTTATTTCTCCCAGGTGAGAGGCCGACCTAAGGGCCTTCCGAGATCCACCTGGTACCTGGCTGGGGCTTCGACCTCAGTGTCTAGGTGGTTTGCACACGAGCGGCCGAGGGCCGAGGGTCGACGGACCAAAGTTTAGAAAAGAAAAGAAAAGATTTCAGTTTAAGCTCTTATATATTGATGCCATGATATATTATTATTAATGTTGTTTTATTGCGGAGCATAGTGGTTTGCTCACGCCCCAATTG